GTGTGCTTACTGATGTTAATGTTTCTTTTGTAAAAGTTACGTTGGATTTATTTATTATCTACACTTACTGCATAATGTTATGGATAAGGCGGACTTAATGCTGTAGGCATTTTTTTTTTCCAGCCAACTTTTGGGTGGTGCAGAGCTGTTAAGGTGTGGATATAAACATACATACATATATTTATTTATTTATACTTCCTGCAAATACCTTGCGTAAGGCGGACTTAATGCCATAGGCATTTTCTTAAAGTCAACCTTGGGGTGTTGTAGAGATTTGTGTGTGGCAGGTGTATAATGAGATATATTATTAAAATACTCATCCATTCCATACTAATCCATACTAATATTATAAATGCGATAGTGCGTCTGTCTGTCTGTCTGTCTGTCTGTTTAGGTATCTGTCTGTCTGTCTGTTATCTCTTCACGCTTAAACCGCTGAACCGATTTAAATGAAATTTCGTATAGAAGCAGTTTGAGTCCCGGGAAAGGACATAGGATAGTTTATATTCCAGAAATCATCCTTTAAGTTAGTGAAAAGGGGTGTGGAAGATTTGTATGGGAAATCTATAACCGCTAAACCGATTCAGATGAAATTTGGTATGGAGATAGTTTGATTCTTGAGAAAGGACATTTACTTCTTTTTACTGCGATAACTGACATACACGCTGGCAAAAGCTAGTCAATTATATACCAAACCATCTAATCCGCGCATTTTCGTCTGTGGCTAGCAAAAATAATAAATTTGCCACGTTTTTTTTATCAAACCACCTTAAATTTATACATTTTATCATTATTTGAACGCATTTAATCAATTGTAACTTTTTTTTAAAGTTAACTTTAATCAGCTCGCTGCTTCTTGTTTCTTGATAAAAACCTTAATAGACTTATTAGTTTATTACGTTCATTTATTAGGCGATAATAGTAGGTGTCTCAACGTTGTTGGGCGTCCAAACAAAGCAACACATAGTATAGTTTAAAAGCAATTAAATTATCATTTAATAAGGCCAGCTAGCGGAACTAAACTGCTATGGGAACGTAACGGTGTTTGTGAAATATTACAATTATGTTGTTTTACTAATTAACATATTAAGTAGATTTTTTTAGGTGTTTCGACAACTTGGTGATGTCACTCAGTTTATGTGCTTAGAAGAAATCTCGACGAAATATGTCGGTAAATGTTGGTTTTACGGGTAAAACAGTTTTTTTTTTGGAATAGGGGGCAAGCGAGCAGACGGGTCACCTGATGGAAAGCGACTACCGCCGCCCATGAACGCCTGCAACTCAGGAGTCACAAGCGCGTTGCCGGCCTTTGAGGAAGGAGTACGCTCTTTTCTTGAAGGTCGTATCGGTCCGAAAATACCGCAGCCGATAACTTGTTCCACATTGCGAGTCAAAAAGTGTCTTGAAAAGCGCACAATGAATAGAATAGAGTCCATTTTTTTAAATAAAGTATTAATAAATGCCTATACTATGATAACCGTACTGCTGAAAAACATATTTATATATTTCTAAATACATGCATATTATAGACTAGCTGAGACCCTCGGTGTTACCCGCGTTTGTTGTTATAACCGCGTGCAACGCCGTAAAAAAAGTAGCCTAAGTTACTCCTTATGTCATCAGCTATCTGCCAGTGAAAGTCCCGTCGAAATCGGTCCAGCGTTCCAGAGATTACCCGGAACAAACAGACAGACAGACAGACAAAAATTGAAAAAAATGATGTTTTGGCATATGTACCGTGTAAACATACATATGCATTTAGTAAAAAGCGGTTATTTTAATATTTCAAACAGACACTCCAATTTTATTTGTATAGATGTATAGATAAACTACACCCAAACACAGAAAATATGATCTTACTCCTCATACAATTATTTGTACTGAGTGGAAATAAACCCAGGACACCCAGTTTAACAGTCAGAATGACTAAATATTATACCAATGAGCCAGTTCTAGAAGAAATCTCTGTTTCTTGAATTAACGAATACCTAATATAAATCGTAAATGAAAAAAGACACAAAACCCGTAAAGCTTATCCTTCGAAATTTTGTGATAAAAGGAAAAAAAAGATCGGAGAGCGGTCGTCCTTCACATCGTACAGACGAACGGACGGACAAAACGAAACAAAAAATCTCATGTCCTATTAAACAGTTAAAGATGCACGGAATAAATTATACTAACTCATTTCAAAGGTGAAGGGCATCCCATAAAAGGGCCGGCATCTTCGAAGGACCTTCCTGGAATACCGAAACAATTATCTCAATGCTTGAAGAACAGTATTTTTAACTAGTTTTTTAAATGGTTAGATTTGACAGCATTATAGACCAGGTTTGATAAATAATTTTAAGTTAAAAAAGTAGATGTTTTATGGTGCGTGTACCATACTCGTAGTACCATGCGTGAGCTGTGCGTGTTAGAAATGGGCAAGCTTGACCGAAGTGAACATCAGCCTCACAGAAAACCGTGTGAGGAGCAAGTTATGACTCTTGAGGTGTAGGTGCCCATGGGCTGCGGTAGTCACTTAACATCAGGTAATCTCGCTACTCGTTTGCCCCCTTATACTATAAAAAAAGAGTCGCGGGAAAGGACATAGGATAGTTTCTATCCCAAAAATCGTCCTTAAAGGGGGTGAAAATAAGGTTGAAGTTTGTATGGGGAATCAATAACCGCTGAACTAATTTAATATGAGGAAGGACATAGGCTAGTATTTACTGCTATAACTAACACACACGCGGGCGAAGCCTTGGGCATAAGCTAGTTATGTATCACATCACACATCAACAGCCTTTAATAGTCCACTGCTGGACATAGGGCTCTCCTTAGAAAGGAGGTTTTGGCCTACTATACCACGCTGACGTCAAGTTTTCCTTCTTTTTGCAGTGATGGTGTCCTGCGTTGTTTTGTGCCCTTAGTCGGCTCTTACGACACCCACCCCAGTTATCTATACGTGTAAAAATATATGATTTTATAATTACAAGAAGACACTTTAGACAAGGACTTAGGAAAAGTAAGGCTAAATATCATCAAAGTCGGTCCACCAATTTCGAAGATATGAATCCTAAAACTACCAGACAAAAACTAAAAGCAAATCTTTGATATTACGAAGCTGTTATTTTAACATTATAAACACACATTTCAATGTTATTTATTTGTCTAGAGGTATTTGTTATAAAGTCATGGTCCGAGAAATAGGTATTAAATAACCGATATATTATAAATAACGTTAAAATCTTTGATAATAAGTTCTTTAACGACTTAGGATTCCTAAATGATGCGCGAACACGTATCGGGTATCCGCCACTATCAAGTTACGCTGACTCTAAACATTCCTACATATTTCGATGGAGGCATTCATCTTTTAGATTAATAATTTAAAGAGTAATAAAATTTGTTTATTTTTAACCAAAAAAATAGTACAAAAGAATGTAAAATAGTCTTCCATAAAACGAAACCGTTTATCCGAGTCCGAGTTTGAATGTGTGCCGTGTGCGTCAAAACTTAAGCATTTATAATAGTTGGTTAGTATTAAGGGAGCGTACCTATTGAAACCAATATTAAAAATGCGAGTGTCTGTCTATCTGTCTGTCTGTTACCTCTTCACGCTTAAACCGCTGAACCGATTTAGATGAAATTTGGTATAGAAATAGTTTGAGTCCCGGGAAAGGACATAGGATAGTTTTTATCCTAGAAATCATCCTTTATTTTGGTAAAAAAGGGACCTTTTAGGAAGTTTGTATGGATAATTACCGCAGGCTCGATTTGAGATACCGATAACTGACATACACGCGGGCTGATCCGCGGGCAAAAGCTAGTGGCTACATAAAGTTATGGGGTCGGGTATAAAACACTGGTTTGTTAAAAGTACAAATTTGGATCTGTCATTTTACAAAAGGTCTATACAATGATAGTTCAGATTATACTGGTCAATGAAAGAAGACATTAAAACCGGTCGAAATTCGACCGCCAAGCGAGATTAGTTTAAATTATTTACAATTTGAAAGTGTACGACAAGTGAATGTATCAGGGCAGCAGAACTCCCGAGGAGGTAGAATTGAATTACGTTCGCTTAGTTGGCGCGGTGTGGGAGTGTGACGTGTACAAACGCAATGGCTTCGTGTACAATTTATCAAGTTGGTGTTACACCCAATGCTGAAATGAATTATTTATGAATCTATTGTTTTTTTTTTTTGGATTTTAATTAATACAAAGATAAAGATACTACGTCAAATGTACAATATTTGTCGAAACAAGTAGTCCCTATTCTATGAGGAAAAAGAGAATTATAACAAAACAAAATATATGACTTGTCAATTGCATAAGAAATAACTCTAAACATAATAATGTTTTAATAAATTAAAAATACACTTTAATTGTATTAAAGTACAATATCTGTGCGGTTGAAATGATAAGGCAATCGCAAAAAAGTACAGTCAGACATAAAAAAACATTTTAAAGTAATAAAAGTTAAAATGAGTAACATGAATAATTTTACTGTATAAGTTAAAAAATTTAGGTATTGTGATATTAATTTAAATATACCTCAATTATTTCGTTACACTACAATAAGCCCGACCTCCTCCCCCCACCGAGGGAGGTACCGTACTTGTATACCTAAATATATATATATGTTAATAATAGGTTTATTTATATTTTAAATTCGACTTTGTACAGTCGAATTGTCGCCATGATAAGGCCACCATTTGGGTATGTACAGAAAAAAACTCTTTAAAAAACTGGTGTACCTACTTACTAAAGCTTATTCGATGTTCTTTATCGTGTGCTACACGCTCTGAAATGGGAGCGAGACCGAAAAATGTGTAACAAGACTTTTTTCCGACACTTCAGTAGGCGCGTCAACGCGATGTGAGCGCATGTTTTTCATAGCAAACGTATTCCAAAAAGCAAACGGCACTTCGTTCCGACCGTTTTTCTTGAATGTTGAAGCACTATTAACGTAAACATTTGTCCGCAGTTGGTGAGGTGGTCCAACACGAGAGGCGATGCTGGGCGGGGCGGCGGGGGGCGCCCGCTCCCGCCCGCCCTCTGATCTGCAGCAAGGTATGTTGTCCTGGTAACAAAATTATGCTAAAACAGTGACTGTGAAACTTATATTTAAGAAGTTTAATTATCTGCTAATAAAAGGCCCATAAAAATCGATTCGACTGTTTCCGAGATTAGCTGAACAAACATTCAGAACAAATAGAAAAAAAAATCACCTTTTTTGTAAAGGTATCCTGCAAAATTACGAATGCAGTTAGTAAAAAGCTATTATTATAACGTTACAAAAAAGACACATAGATTTATTTGAACCTGGAAATGAAAACAATCAAGGAGGAAATTCGGAGTTTAGCAGCTAAATACAAAGAGCGATTAACCTGTCAACGTACTCGCTCGCCAACTCACCCTGGATGAGTATGCGAGACGACTAAAACGTCACCATATCCTAGATCTAGATGGCCGGCGGTAGCTCTGGACAGCAGATGAGTAGATGCTTCCAATGGGAAGCTACTCCGCACGACAGCATCACACAACATATTTGCTCATAGCCTTCGGGCTGATTGCAAATAAACAAATAAACGCAAAAAAAAAAGATTTATTTATTTATACGTCTAGAGGACTTGACTGTTTTGACTCGACCTCAATTTCATCCTATATAATGTATAATTATTTAAATATTAGTTACTACCTTGGGAGAGCCATGCTTCGGCACGAATGGGTAGGCTCGACCGGAGTGATACCACGGCCTCACAGAAAACCGGTGTTAAGCAATTCTTTCGTTGTCTTTCACTGAGTGAGTGAAGTTACCGGAGCCCAAATCCCCCCTCCCGCTGACTCGAGCGGGAGGTACTCCAAGGGCAGCAACGCACTTGTGACTTTTGAGTTCCAGGTGTCCATGGGCGGCGGTAGTTGCTTACCATCAGTTGACCCGTCTGCTCGTTTGTCCCCTTATACCATAAAAAAAAATAGTTAACTGTGATTTGTATCTATAGTAATACGCTTGTCGCTTCTTTGTGTTTACTAATATAATTAATAATTTGTTTGCAGGTGTGGCTCGATTCCCGCTGTACTCCTTGTTTCCGACACAGTCCGGCAACAGGCCGACCTTCCACAAAGGTAAATCTTTCATATTTAGCTAGCTTTAGTATTTATTTAGTTATCACATAAATATAACTTATATTAACACACAGACCCATACGCGTACGCGTACACACATAAATGAACAATAGTTCAAACCTCAAAGGAGAATGCCCATATCAGTATGAAATCTGTGTCAAATATGTGTAAACTGAATTTTTATGACTTCCTTGAGGATTATCTGAAATATAAACGCATATTGTAACAGAACTTGTAGTTATTCAGAAAAGTTTATAGAAAATATTGGGACACTGATGTTAGAGTTTTTTTTTTTATAAATTAAGGCAAAAGTAACACTGAGTAAAAATTCACTAAATAAACTACGACTACATACACAAAATAATAATAAGATTATTATTTTGCAAAATATTTTAATGTGACATTAGGAATTATTATCACGTATATTATTATTTAACCATTTAATTTAAAACGATGTTTATTTGCATTCAACTATTATTAATTCATTTGTTATAGCGGCAACTAAACGTTGCCGCTATATCAAATGTAAATTTAAATTTAAAACCTTAAATTAAAACGTAATTATATCAAGTTTTGTTCTTGTAAGATTTAATTTCAACCCTAAAGTTCTCTAGAAGAGATTCAGGGTCAGAAAGACACGTTTCTTTTTGAAGTGATAACTTCTTATGGAAGGGTAAACCGCTTGTTACGTAACGCGTTACGGCGCCAGTCTGTCTGTCTACCCTTTCTCTTACGCACACGGCAACGCTAGGCAGGCTTCTCCTCTCTCACTCTAACCCACAGTGCTAGCCGACAGACGCTTTACATAAAATTTAAGTAATAACCTAAGCTTTTCTCAAGTTAAACAATTTCAATATTAAATAGTTCAACTTATATTAGTCTAAGTTATCACTTCTGACAGGCATCCCGAGACGCAGACGTTTTTTTTACATTAAAAATAATGAGGCGAACATCTAAAACTAAAACCACGAATAATAAGATAATAATGTTTTTTAAATGGTTTAATACCCATACTCTTACATATATTTTATAGACATTTCGATTTATAAACACAGGACCGTTCATAAATAGTAGCTACGTACGTTTACGTATGTTAGGTATGGTTATTTGATATCGTGTTTCGTTTTGTTTTGTCTAGAAATATGAATGTATGTTTTGAAACGTCAAAGGCTTGAAGCCTAAACAGTCCAAGTGGAGGGAACTTTATGAATTGGCACCACCCAGGATCTGGTGTCAAATAGGCACTTGTGTAATTTAATATTTTCGGACATCTGACACACAACGTAATCTAGTTTCAAACTAAGTACAGCTTGACTGACTGATAGAATACTTATATTTGTTTTATTTGTAAATTATACGTAGAAAACACCCAAACTTCGAACAAATATTTGCAGATCAAACAAACATTTGGTCCGACCCCGACTGAGACCTCAGCACAGCACAGAGACGCTTCAAGTTTATTTAGTGGGTATAGTAATCACACGATAGCGATTTAAAACCCAAGATCAAAAATCACAAGACTGAATTAAAAAAAAAAGAACCTTTTTAATCCAACTGTGCCTTCGATGTATGTCCAATAAAGTATATTAAGTTACTTAAATATGTATTTGTCAGTTCTATATTTATTAAAAAGTTTACATCGTATCGGAATACTAAATTAATATTGAACTACCAGGTGAGCATAAACATCTAGTCTAGTAGGTACTTATTCGTACAATTTATAATAAAAATCAAACAAAGAACGTCCGCTATTCTTATAACCGGGTTATACATCGCGTGGCCGCTGCACACACGCCCAGAGCGGTAACCGTGAGGATATTTGACATGACGTTTCTGACAGACGGCTTACCAGTCCACAGCTGGCGTTGCAATATTTGTGAAATTGCTGGAATTAAATCAAATTAGGATCTGTCATTGAAATTTTGAAAAAAATGTATGGCACATGTCATGTTTGCTATTTTATACTGCATCAACTGCTAGCGATGTATGCTGCCCTAGTCAAATATGAATAAATGTATTTCGAAATTATAATATGCATTTATTCCATAGCTATTATTAAACAACTATATTTACTATGTAACATTAAAATTGTACATTAAACATTAATCAACGAAACGAACTAGTTTTTACCCGCGGATTCGCTCGCATTAATGTCGATTTTGTGGATCAGGATCCAGGCTGATCTCTGTGCTAAATTTCATCCGGTGCGTTCAGCCATTCTAGCGTCATTAAGTAACAAACTTGCATACACCCGCCCTCAAAAACTTTCGTGTTTAAAATATTAATGGGCTAATTATAAAAATGCTTCTTGAACTAAATAAAACATTTTAACCAAAAAACTTTTTTAGGCTTCCATGTTTTGTCCATATTTATCATAATAATGTTAATTACGTGATTAAGAATAGTATTTTAAACTATGTTTATTAATAGTTACTTTAGATAGTAGAAACATAACATTGCAACAAAGACCTCTAAGTATGACCTTACGTTACAAAAATACATTTTTGACTGCCTCGGTGGCGCAGTGGTTGTGTATGCGACTGCTGTGTACGGATGTGTCTCTTGAGATACTTATTGAGTCACTTACTGGTGACCTGTCTGCCTTTTGCTTCCTCGCAAAAACAGTTATAAAATTCAGTCATGTTAAAAATGTGTGCCATTATCTTTCAGAATCAAAATTTCACCTTTTGAACACGAGACATGCGTAAATAATTCTGGCGTTTGATCAGAAGTACAAATTAAAACGGTTAGTTCCACGACCCACGCGGTCGAAGTGACACCCGTGAAATGGACCAGACAAGATCGCACGCTACTTTTGTACTGCGTAGTAGATGCACAGTCACTATAAATGAAATGCGCACACGGAGGGGAGTTTATGTTAACGATTTACTTTTGAAATATGCTCTCCTAGTAATCAATCACAGTAGTACCAAGACTTATCATAGTTTTTTTTGAAAATAAGGAATATTCGCTCTTCCCTTTTTTCTTTTTAAGGTACTAGTGATACGTGCACTAAAAATAAGAGATGACAAATTTCACTTTGAAGCGGGAAATTAGGATTTAAAGTCATTTTTTTAGATAAATTAACTATAAATATTTCCTTTAAATTGGTTTGTGTTCTTTTAAATTGTAAAAAGCTTCAAAGACTCAAGAAACGGCGTGAGGGGTCTATGGACCCCGGTCGGAACTAAGTTTCTTTCGCTTTTTGGTAGAGGGTTGCTATTGTGTCCTAAAAGTCTTGTTACACATTTTTTGGTCTCGCTCCCATCTCATAGTACGTAACGCGCGATAAGGAACTTTGTTCCAAAAATTCACATCGATTGAGCTCAAATTTTGACACGATATAAAAACCGCTTCAAAGACCGGTTTTATTTATTTTTCTGCGTTAGTTTTCTCATTTCTCATCAATGCAATGGGTACAACTAGTTATTTATGTTTTACTAGTTAATTTTAATATTTCTACTTTGTATTTATTCCTTTATCAACTTCCTTTATATACTCCTTTATAAACCATTTTAATAATAATAACTTTTTACACATTTCACACACGGCAGTCGGATCGTATTTATAAATAACACGCCAGAAGGCCTGAACGGATCTGATTGACAATAAGCACAGAGATAGTTTGGAAGAGCATATGCGCTACTTCATAACTACTAAAACTGATTAGCAAATGGAGATTTACGTTAGCCAAGCCAAAGTTGAAAACAGGTAACTACATACATAAATAATTAAAAAAAACATTTCAATTATAATATTGACGTAAAGTCCAAATGTAAAGCAAAGTTAAATTAGGTAGAAACTCAATACAAATACTTTTCAAAAAGAAAAAAGCTGTAATCAATATGGCCTCTTCGGCGAAATAAACTTCGTAATTCCAAGAGCTTCAAACTTGTTTTACTTAAATAATACTTATCAACTGAAATTTCAAACCGCTGAGCAGTTTTGTTTGTGTAACGTAATGGGCAGCGGTTGTTTATGCCAAACGTAATGACCAATGTGGTAGATAAAGCATGCTCGTACATCACGAGTAGTGCGACATAAATATGCGCGTACGCACATGTGTTGCGCGGGAGTCGCGGCTGTCGAGTGACACTCAGTAATTAAGGTCTTAGATCCCTTGGGCCCCGACAGAAATAGATTCTTTGTTCACTAATGCGTTATGTTCTCTATGGTTTATTTTGTTCGTTGCTCGGAACTACGTACTATTTTAGTTTGTATTAGATTATATTTGGTTATTTAAGTAACTCTTTCAATATGAACGTTTTATAGCTGAATGTTATACGTATCATCATTATCATCATCAGCCTATCACAGTCCACTGCTGGACATAGGTCTCTCCCATTGCACGCCACTTCGATCGATTTTGGTCTTCTCGCATCCAGCTCAGTTATACGTTTATAGACACCGAATTAGATACAACTATATTATGTGATTATATATGACATTGTATAATAGTCAATGTTAAGAGTCATTTTTAAACCTATCTAGCCGTTCCTCACCTCAGTTTCACCTCCGTTAATGTTCAGTGCCAATATCAAACGTAAAAATAATCATGCAAATCTGACTGATAGTTCCGGAGATTATACAAATAAGCCTAAGAAAAATGCTCTGTTATTATTATTTTCTTTATTATTTTATGATAGAACTATAAATTATGTTTGATAAGTATTAAAAGTAACATATTTTTAAAGGACTCCATAAAAGGAGGAGGTTCTCCATTCGTCGGAATGATTTTTTTATGTAGGTGCACCATTTACTCGAAGACGCCTGAACCGATTTGGAAAATTCTTTTTCGTTTTAAAATAAGGTTACTTTCTTAAAAATAACCAGTGTTAATCATCAGCAGCTTTTAATAGTTCACTGCTGGACATAGACCTCTACTTAGAAAGGAGGTTTTGACCTAGGTACTATACCACACTGGCCAGACGGGTTGGTATAGGGTTTGTTTCAAATGTTCCCTCACCTTGCAATTCTGTTGTTCTGCGTAATTTGCTCCCTTAGTCGGCTCTTACGACACCCACGGAATGAATAGGGGTGATGACATTCCGTATTCCTAATCCGTTACCACACGGAAAGTGTCAATATATATAGTCTACCTACCTACCTATTATTGGCAATTAAAATTGGCGTCATAATAACATAGAAAGGTTTTTTTTAATGAAATATGGGAGAGGCCTATGTCCAGCATTGGACTGCGATAGGCTGATGACAATGAGGAAATGCAATAATCACAATAATGTATAAAAATGAAAACAAATATTTTAATATGAAATATTGTTTGCATAATTTAAATGGAATTCAAAACACTAATGAATTATAAAATAATAACTAACTAGACATATTGTACGTGGCAATACTTCTATTGAATACCAAGGCAACATAAATTTCAGGGATTAATATTGATGAAATTGTTCCAGTGACCGAGAGTCTGTTTTCAACGTCGCTGTCGACATTCGGCGTGCCAACTCCACCGCCCAACTCGCCGTACTCACCGCTGCATTTGGAGTTGCTCAATTGCTCACAGCGGGTTCTTGTCACCGACAAGTGAGTCTTACGATTTTATGGTGTCCTGGTACAATAGGTTACGAATGTTTCCTACTTGACAGCTGATTGAGGACAAATTTGACAAGGTTCCTTACGAATAAAAAGTTTTTTTTCCTTCTGTTTTCATGATTTTGTAGGATCAAATATTTCATGAAAACATATTTTTAAGCTATTGCATAGCTTCTATCGAGGGCCTTGAGCGCGGGGACCGAATCCAGAAATTCCGTAACGAAAAAAAACCTCACGCTAAAAACAAAACAAAAAACAGTACCAAAATCAAATGCTGAACGTCGAAAGGAAATTTCGTCAACATAATGCAGAAAAATCTTACATGGAAAGGTAATTTGATTTAATAATAATGTTTTTTATTTATTTATTTAAAAACAAATTGTAATATATGCTTCAATATTTTTATTTAATAAAAGAAAAAAAATTGTTTTCTTATCGGTCACCACGCTCAAAAAGTGTAACTTGAATTAATATCAAAGTAAAAGAAATACTGCATAAATAAAATAAATAAATAATTATAATTGCATAAGTTGATACAAAATGCTATGCAATAGCTTTACCGCGGCAGTCCCCGAGTGCCAAACGTCTTTTTTTTTTAACATACACGAGTAATATAGAATAATACCCAATACTATTGTTATCTATGTGCGAAGAATCTTAACGGAAAAACATTCACATGTACTGACTAGTCAATGTTTCAAAGTACACAGCAATAAAATATTTTTTCACATTTACTGTTTCGTGTAACACTCTTCGCTTCTTGCCTGTATTGGAGTTCTTTCATTTGCACAGACAGAAAAAATGTCTAAAGAGTAAATCTGTGTAAAAACTGAATGGTGGTATTCGTCTGCGAGTGTGAACTGTGAAGTGCCTGTCATAGGAAGATAGGTAAGTGAAATGTCATAGGTACATTTGTGGTGTTAGTAGCTAATGAATTACAATTTTTTACAAGTAAAAGTAAAAGTGGATTTACTGTATTTCCAACTCCTCCAATTTTCTTCTGATTAATTTCGTTGCGGGTTCCAAGACAGTTTAATTTCTTCCTGGGACTTCCCGAGTGCCATAACTCGGTGTGTTCGTGGGTCACTGCTGTGGATCCTGGTGTAAAGGAGTTACAGTGGTGGGCGTGTGGGTGGGATTAGTCCCAATAAAAATAAAAAAGTAAAAGGTTCATCGAGGAATACATATTTAATACTAAGTTAAAAATTATTCTGATGGTTTGTGTATGTAGCTAATATACTTCTCAGAATATTCATTTGTTCCTAAACATACAATTGAATAAGTGCAAAATACCACTTCATCAATCAAACTTTTTCTGTTAATTTAAAATAATAAAACGACACAATTTTATCTAAAGCAACATTGTCCCTTTTATCACTGCAAATCAGGATTTTACATTTGAGGTAATATTCATATATGTATATAATATGTGGTGGTTATAGTTTTAGTCCGTCATAATCAGTCGGCCACCACCATGAAGGCAGAGTTTGACTTTGACTGACGGAAACATTTTTATCACAGAGCCCTAAACGTAATCTCTTGATAATAATAGGACTTGTCTTTTGTACACAGGGATCACAATAAAATGGAAGAACCTAAATTGGGAAAAGCGTGTCTTCCTGATACTTTATGTTGTCCTGGTGACCAGAGGCAAATGATAGACGGAATCAACGTCATGCAACCACTCACTATAAAGACTGAACAGGCAAAGCGTTCATGCAACACTTGCCTCTCAAACTCACCCAAAAAGGTAAGAATTAAAAAACAACATACTTAATAAAACACAACATAAAAAAACCCAAACTAGGCAGAGCCTGTACTATGGTAACCAGACTGCTGATAAACATACTTATAAATTTTTAAATACATACATATTATAGACTAGCTGACCCGCTCAACTTCGTCTGCGTCTCTCAATAGTAATAAATTTTCTCCGTTTTTGAAACATTTTTCATTGGTGCTCCGCTCCTATTGGTGTTAGCGTGATGATATATAGCCTATAGCCTTCCTCGATAAATGGGCTATCTAACACTGAAAGACCTTTTCAAATCGGACCAGTAGTTCCTGAGATTAGCGCGTTCAAACAAACAACAAACAAACTCTTCAGCTTTATAATATTAGTATAGATAAATTACACACAGACACAAAACAAATGACCGTGCTCATTTCACAATATTTGTCCTGGGTGGGAATTGACCCACGACCTCCAGCTTAGCAGTCAGGGCCACTAACCACTAAACCAACATTCCCGTCAAATTCCTAAAAGGCCGTTGCAGTCGTTCATGGGCGGCGATGGTTACTTTCCATCAGGTGACCCGTCAGCTCGTCTACCGCCTCTAACATAAAAAAATATATAGAAACTCACATTAACATGACATCACATTATTTGTAACAGTCAACAAGGAATCATCCCTTCATCATCAGCTTTTATTGTCCACTACTGAACATAGGCTTCACCTAATATCACTGAGCTCGAGCGTACATCTACATATATTAATATGTGAACACGGTTTAATCGGAATAACGGCGCTTTGTTTTAAAACAACCAAATGCAATTGAACTTCATGTATTCACTCAACGAATTAAATTTACAACTCCAAATCCCGACAATTTTTTTTTACATCGCTAAGTATATTTACTATTGCGCGACTCAGATAACCGAGAAAGCGCCATCTATCGAGTGGCAGGTTAAACTTTTAGTAATGCTTTAGACAATATGATATGTCAGAAGTTTCTTTGTTTGATTGAACGAGTTAATCTCACTAATTACTAGTTTGAGTTGAATGATTATTTTAGTGTTGAATAGCGTATGTATCGAGGAAGCGGGCATCAATGAAAAATCTAAATGCTCGTAGTTAAACCCACAATACTACCCTTGATATGTCCTTTGACAAACTTTGTTCGTTAAAATCCTAACTAACATTACAATACTGATAAAGACAGACTCCTGTATAACACGTGATGTTATGTTTGTTTGTTGAACCAGATATTATCGTGCCCACATTCAGATAGTTGTAACTTTACCAGTACCGAAGTTATGCAAACCATCGTAATTAATGTGTTATTAATTCTACACCCCTTTTACGTGTTCAGTTAGTGTTGACTGTTGAGTGTTGTTGCGTATGTGACTGCTGTTCTGAGGTCTAGGGTGCGATTCCCGGGTCGGACCAAATGTTTGTATGATCTGCAAATATTTGTTTCAGAATTTGGGTGTGTAATATGTATGTATTTACAAAAAAAAAGCATATGTATTCTTTCAGTCAATTTAGCTTTCTTAGTTCTAGCTCTGCTTAGTTTGAAACTAGATGGCGTTGTGTGTTATATGTCCGAAAATATTATTATTCTAATCACTAGAAAATGTGAGTATTTGCAAAAGGTATCGCTTTGTGTTCCGTCGATTAAAGTTCGTGTCTTAATATAGACAGGACCCACTCCAATAATTTGAACATCGGATTAGCCGTTGATCAGTGAATAGAGTAATATTTAAAATCCAAATATAAGCTATATAGGGCTATGGGAATCTACTGCCCTCAATAGATCGACTCATGAAAATATTTGAACAAGTATCATCAGTACGTTCGCAAGTCGCAAGTCTCGCCGCTAACAAAAACAAAATTAAGCAAACTTAGGATTTTTCATTCTGTTATAAAATGCATTTAAATTAAAATTAAGGATGAAGTATCCACTCACCCACTGCATGTACTACAGAATATGCCTATGTTTTATATATTTTTCAGAATCTTTTGTTTTTTAACCTACATATGTATACAGCTACTAACTACTACTACACTAAAGAAACTACCAATAGATAAATATAATAGAAACTGCTTTAGAGGGAATGTACCCGAAATGAAGGCAAAATGTAAGTCACATCTAACGAAACTTCTTGTATACAGATAATGCACACAGACGGAGGCTGCAGTCGAACGAACCCAGTGACGTGGTTGGGGGTCGCTGGACAAAACGTACAGGTCCAGGTCAAGCGTGAACCCCAACACGTTCAAGTTTCGGAGCTTGTGGCCGTCAAGTTGGAACAGGCGTCCCCTGGTAACAAGCCCGACCACCCGCCACCGGCGATACCGGCCTCTCTCAACAACGGTAAGACGATCTCACGGCGTCATGTTCGCCTGGTACATTCGTACTGTATTTATGCGCGACGCCGATCAAAATGTATTCCGGTCACATTACGGTATAATTTTCCTCCTCTTCATCAAAAATGTGTGTTTATGTATGATTTGATGAAATTGATGAATTTATCCCTTCTTTAAGGTTAAATTTACATTTTATTTAAAACGCTTAAATGAAATATTAAAAAATCATACAGTATTGTTGCCCCTTTTTTTTTTCATTAATGGCATTCATTTATTTTATCAGGTTCTATTCCTGTCGGGATTGCGGTCGCACGACAACGGGTAGGCGATGCAGGCCTGCTTGCAGCGCTCTCACAAAAAGACACACAACAGCGAATGCACGATATCGGTAAGTTATTTCAAACATAGCCAAAAAATACCAGTTTACAGACATTAGGAATGCTATTTTACTATTTCATAAAAATACATAGCCAACGTAACTGTATCTGTGTTCGTAGCTTTAGAAATGGTTTTTATCTTCGCTGTCATTGGCGGACATGATGTCGATAGCGCCGATAGTGTGCCTTCGCTCTTACAACAATCTCTTTGCTGTTTCTGCTTGCCTGGTACTACTATGTATTTACTATGATGCGCTTGGTAATGAAAAAAAGTAAATTAAACTTTATTGAGTGAAGGTCGCAATTGTGGAGGTACATTGAGAAGCGTTCATAAAACTTTAGCAGTAAGGCACAATTTGGTATGAGTATTCAGTAAATTACAGGTTGCTCTACTAACAAATTACAAAGCTTCTATGTTTTTGTGCAAGATATATATAATGTATGTATATAAAAATAAAATAAAAAAAACTAAATAGAGGTTCCATTCTTGTAAAACTAACAAAAACAAGCATCGAACATTGGACTCACAAGTAAGTTTAAATTGATTGCGCGTTTGAAATAAAAAATATATTTTTGTTGCATCGCGCCGAATGGCTTCGATCACGCAACCAGTTTTTGATAGCAACTTGAATTATAGCGTCTTTCAATGAATAAATAACAGCATTTCGTAGTAACAGTACGGTTTTTAGTTCACAAAATGTGTACTCACTGGGTACACATTTTGTTAACAAAATTTAAATTAATTAAAATTTTACTTAAGTACTTTAAATGCTTACCCACCATACCCCCCGTCAGACGCGACTTAATATATTTTATTTAGATACAAAGACAGTCATCATTAACAGATGATTATGTACAAAAATGTTTATAAGAAGTGAAATCATTACTAGAAGTACAAGGAATGTATAGAATTAAGAAGGTTTAACACCTCTCGCAAAAAAATATTTTTATGAAGTATTACCCTCAGAAAAAAAATTACTTTCTTGCAGCTCAAATAAAATAAAAAAATAAAAATAAATACTCATAAACATATAAATAGATACTCGTTCATTATCAAATTGGAAATCATTAACTGCCATCTTTAACTTAATTTTTAACTTGACATACCTACCGTTTCCAGAAGCTTGATTTACATCAAAATTGCCATGTATCTGGCTACCGTTTAGAATATCGCCGATAGGCACTGCCCCCTCGATCATTATATCGATCGAATTTATGAATTGTAACATATTTTGGCTTCGGAATCGTTTCGAATTTTATTCATCATTTCATTTTCAAATTAGCTTGTTTTGTTCTCCACATCGCGTGTTCAACGGTGTGCGTACCAAATCACCAATATGAATGTGTGAAAGCAAACAAAATTTTATGGAATTCATCGCAGCTGTGTTTTTTATTATTTAACGTTGGAATTCCTTAAACGAGTTCTTATACTCTAAGACACTGATACCCAACGTTGTCTATAATGACCCCGGGGGTCAACGGCAACCTGGCCGGGATGATAAAACTACGATCAGAGACGATGGTGTATCGTAGTTTTAAATTCCGTTATATAAATCAACTATATTCAGCAAATTGCTTAGTTTTTACATAAAACGTAACAGCCATAAACTTTATAAACAATTTATGCATTTTTCTAACATTATGTTATAAAATTGCGTAAGCTAGTAAGATATTTATGTGGTTGCAATGCACTTCAAAATTGTAGAAAATTATAATGCAATGTCAGCTAAGGGGTCTACCCATACATAAAAAACATGGAAAGAGGTCTGTGAAACAAAGAAGATTGGGAGCCTCTGTTCTAGGACTATAAAAATAACTTCAGCGAAGGGTTTTTGTTTCTCAAAGTTTATTAATTAAGTTTAAAACAATCAATAAAAGTAAGAAATTTTATGTACGTTTTATTATAAAACAGGGACTAATAAAATACCATTTTGAAAATTGTTGTTCTTTGTTTTGGAAGATGATGCTTATTAAGGCGTCGGGCTTGCGATCAAGTAATTTTTATTTCGATTCCTGGTAAAATGAGAAATATTACTTGGATTCGAACCATTAAAGTCTTAAACAATATTAAAAATATCTGAACTATTAATTACTTGTAATTATGATTTGATTAAATAGTTAGTAAGTAACTAATCTGCCTTGGCTGTGCCACGCATTGCAGAGAGTGAGTAAGTACCGTGAATTGAGTGAGTAAGAATACTGGTGGCGGAACCCTCTTTTGAATTACACTTGTCCGTGGGCGGCAGTAGTTACTTGTCATCAGATGACCCCATCTGCTCATATGACCCCTATGCCAGGGGTCTGCAACCGGTGGACCGCGGTTGATCCTTGAACCGCCGAATATTTTAAATAAATCTATCTATTCAATATAAACTCCAAAGATGTCCAAGTTGGCATTCACCTATTTTACATGTAAGTAAGGACGACTGTTGTGATTTGATTAGTTATAAATGGCGTTTTTAATGTTCTAGGTATAATAATTAAACAATATTGTTGTTATTAATTCTTTTTCCTGGACCTCGATAGAAAAAAATCGACAGGATCCGGACCCCATTAAAAATTACTTGCTGACCCCCTTTTTTATGTGTGGAAACCACCTCGAGACGTCACCCCACCTGGACTTGCGGCGGGGTGGTGTGTCGGAATCGGACCGACTAAAACCACACGGTGTGTCACTCTGCGCCTGTAATACTTGCCGAACCCTGCCCTATACATTAAATAAAAAGTAACTACTGAGCTACTGGCCAGTCCTTTGACAGACACAGCTAAGGATATTTAGACTTTGTATTTTCAATATTTAAGTTAAGTTTAAAACAAAAAAAAATATAGTTTTAAAAAACTAAAAAACACGCTTTCCATAGAAAACCAAACTAAAAAATAGAAAATAAATTTGAAAAAAAGCGCTGGGTGCCTGTTGTCAATAGTAAAAAGCACCCCACGCTTTTTGTTTTTTTAGCGTGTTTTTTTAAACTATATATTTATTTAAAATCAGTCAAAATCACGCCCAAAGGAGTCGGTTACAAAGATACAAGTGAAACTAACATAAAGCGTGTTAAAATGGCTATGATGGAGCGACGTAGTCATCATTGTGGCTAAGGTCCGTAAATAAAGACAAAAAAAAACTATTGAGCCAGTCTGCCTACAAAAGCGCATAACCTAACCAATTTCCTAACCTCATTAAGCAACTATACCATATTTTTCCTTGTATTTTAAACACACATAGTTGCTCGATCGTGTAAAACGTTCGAACTGCACAATAAAACTGCGGTTTTCCTTCACATTAGCACCAGTTTCTAACCTGACATTCAGCTTTAGTCAATAACCATAGCGTTAATTGTATGTGTATAGGCAGGCGGCCTTTGTACGAGATATTTATGGCTCAAAAGCGCGTTTGTATCCGACAATTATATGCTAATCGGATATTGCTGGCCCCTTTGTAATGTATGCAATAGAATGTTACTAGCGATATTGTAATGAAGTGTTCGTACATATCGTACAACGGTATTCAATGCGAATTATAAAATTTCAGGTTTTTGTTTTGTAATATCTATCCCCGTGAAAATACCCCTGTGAAAAGACTGTGTGTGTTACTGATCATCATGTGACTCGTACACTAATTTACCCCCTATAACATAAAAAAGGGACGGATGTGTGTAGCAAACAGGAGGCCGGGGAAATGCACGCTATTTATATGCGGTGGCTGTGTTTGAATTGATTCTCAGATAATTGGTTACACATCATATGCGACTATTATAAGACTCGCTCATTGTCTTATAAAATTAACTATCTACCATTGCAAGTTCCATAGAAATATGTCCACCCGTTGCTGAATTTATCCGAACCACCACAAAAACAGATAAATGAAAAATTTTAAAATTACAATTTTGGTATAAATACATTCAGCTGAGTTTATCAGTTTGCTTGGCATTTATTTTTAACTTTTATAATAATAGTATAAAAGTTAAAATAAAATGCCTTTTTATGTTTAATTATCGCGGTCAATAAGTATTTACGTACCTTTGAATAGCCTTTCGACTAGATTGCACTGACCGTGGCCAACTTGCGTAATTATATTTTCATTAACGACAAAGGTAATGAAAACATCAAAGTCACCTGTAGTTTTTAATAATACAGGAAGTCAGGAAATGGCGTTTCGGTCGCAGGTTGCAATTTTTAAATTATTATCTGAATATTTATTATTTTATGGCAAGTATTCCAAGTGGTCTCCATAGATGGTATCGAGAGTCATGAGCTGAATACGTTAATAATATTTTATACGAAGCCAATTTTTATTATAAAACGAATAAATTGTAACAAAAAATTAATTTATAAGCTAATATAATTGTTAGCTATATGTGTAACGAATGAAACAGAAAAATACTACAATGCCATCTAACGGAGACACGTCGAACTACGGAGTAATTGCTAGTTCTGTATCGCGATATAAAAACCCGGCCCGCCAGGCATGATCAACTAGCCTAATTGGAGGGAGGTCCTCCGAGTTGATTATGCTTGGCGGAGGGAGACCGTAATTATCATTTCTTAACCATACGCTGTCCGCTCTTTGCTTTAACAATATATATAAAAAAATAGAAAACTGGCTGTTTGAAATGAATATTGACTAGCAATATCTAAATAAAAGATATTTGTAAATTGATATAAATGTAAATTATTATATAAGTTCAAAAAATAGTATGTTTATAACGCTTTACGCCTTAACTGTTTATTATAAAATTTTGAATATGTACATAAGCATTGTAGGATATACATAATAGGATGTGACGTCATAATCCATATTCACGGCAACGAAGCCGGGGGTAACAGTTACTTTTAATACTTGACATAAACAAAATAGTTTTTTATTTTAATTTCCTAAATGTTTAAAATGTACCACAGCCAGGGGCAGTTTAGTAATGTATAACTATTATAATGATGTACTGACATTATGCAATTTAAACGATGCCTCGTTAACTTTTACGTTGCGTGTCGGCATCTTTATTTAAGACGGCTA